GTTTCTTTTGCCTTCCACTACCTACTCCTAAGACTATCTAGAGGGGACCCCTGCAAGCATAGTTTCCTCTCTCTGTGAAGGGGAGATTTCATGTTGCCCCTTGCCCCTAATGGTTAGGGTATAGGGTTGGGGCCGCCAGTGGGGGTCTGGCTAACACAAAGACCGAGACCTGCCAGTAGCTGTGCCTCCCTTTCTCATCGTCCCCCACCCTTCATCGAGTAGCAGCAGAGGCTATGGCCACACACCACACACAACCCACTCGCGCTCACACTCACACCCGTGTTGGTCATAGACCCCGCTAATACCGATCAGGGGTATCCAGAGGACTATCACAGTCCGTTGGCACTAAGTGCGCCGCAGGCGGCCATGGGGCTTGAACCCACAACCTCCTGATTCCTAACCAACTGAGTCTCTTTCTTTGTCGTCGGCCTCCCGTCATTTTTTTTTTATAATTCCAAAATAACACTCGACTCTCGTCATCTTTCTCTCCTTCTCCCCTTCTCTCTTTCTTTGTCGCAAGCCTCCTCTCCGATCTGTCTCGTGGCATACCCACACGAGAACCTTTTTACTTATTTCTGGACGTAAACGCCGGCAGATACATCCAAGCTCTGGCCGTAATTACGGGCAGATGCATTCGGAAGAGTGGTAGTGTGTATGTTAGTACGCTCTCACTCCGCAGCCAGGCCCCGCCGGGCCTCCGTCCACACTCTCTTCCCTTTTCCGTTCCCTTCCCCCCCCCCTTCTCCCCCCCCTCCCCCACCCTTTCCTCTTCGTTTACACTCTCTTCGTTTTGATCCCGCCAATTTATTTTGGTGCCAAGAACGAAAAGATGTTGATCGGAAGCAATTGCGTCTCCTTGCACAGTCGTGTATCTCCTGCTCAGCCGAGTGATTGCAAGGAGAGGGCTTGAGCGGAAGCATAGTCGTCTTGAAGCCTGCAAATCGGACGCTCTCGTACGTACTCGCGATCATCTCCACCCTCTCTCTCTTTCTCTCTCTCTCTCTCTCTCTCTCTCTCTCTCTCTCTCTCTCTCTCTCTCTCTGTGTCTCTGTCTGTGGATCGGTGTATCTCGATCTGTGCCTGCCGATCCGTCTGGTTGAGCACTGTCCGCTCACCTTGCATGTCAGTTCGCTTCTCAGACAGGTTGAATTGGCTTACTTGTTGCTTGCTAATACTCTCCGTGTGTGCGTCCATAAAGCTGATCGTTTTGCTGGTGGTTTCTTTGTCGTGTTCATCTTATATTTAATGGGGTCCGCAATAGACCCCTTTAAGTACATTCTCTTTATTGCTCCCTGTACGTGAGTATGACGCACACGCACGCACTCATACAGATTCCGCAGTACTCACATGTGAAATCTGTCTGTGTGCGTTCGTGCCTGCGTGGTCTGTGCGCGTCTGCGTGTGCGTGCGTGCGTGTGTGTGGGAGTGTGTCTGCGTGTGTGTGTGTGTGTGTGTGTGTGTGTGTGTGTGTGTGTGTGTGTGTGTGTGTGTGTGTGTGTGTGTGTG